ATCCGATTACAAACTGTTAAAACGTATTTCTGAATGCTTTGCATCACGAAGTAATATTTCCAACCGTTTCAAAAGTAATATTTGTTTATAAACTGATATGTCTGTGGACTGTTGAGGATTAGAGGACAATGGACAGACATTTCGTCCCAGTTTGGGACTCTTCATCAATACGAATCCATGATCCATGGTGGTGATGTTGTAACAACAGAAGACAAGGGCCGGGCAACACATCGTTTATTTGGGAAATCAACAAATATTCATAGATTTTCGTGTACATTATTATAGATTATTGTAAGCAAACAAAACAGTCTTCTGATTGGTGGTTTCTCGCTGAACGTTAATCTTTCATCTCTTTGTGACCGTTTATTGAAGTTCAGATTATCTATTTGCGAATTGTATCCGCCTACGCAAAGTTTGCTATGGTTGGTTGTTGAGTCAATCTTTGTTCTTACTTTTCTCATGATCCATATTCGGGACGTACACATTGACATAAATTATATTTGAAATTATATTTGCTAAACTGTATATTCGTGTATTTATATCAAATGGATGGGAAAGTTCCAGAATAATATCCGGTCAAGGGTCAAATTAATAAAAATTAAAATTGGGAATTAGAATGCCATAATAAACAGGGGGATGGATAAAACAAACAAAGTAGCATTATAATAACTAAGAAGACTGACATTGTGCAATTAGGGGTTAGAAATGTAGAAATAACAAAATAGACAGGATGTTTGGATAAAAACTAATGTGATGAATAATTGTTTATGCAATCAGGGATTAAATATGTAGAAATAGTAAAATGACAAAATAAACACTAAGTTCGGGTATGAAAATATGGTAGTGTAAACAGGGATTAAGAAAAACTTAAAATAACATGAATAAACAGGAAGTTTAGATAAGAAAGGAGATGGGATGGTGATTACTAAAAATTACCTGTTTATGATGGCCATGGCAAGGACAGGGGTTGGACGTATTTCTTTTGTATACAAAGCGTGGGTTTGAGCTTTTGTATAGGTAGCACCTCGGCTATGCCCAGATGTCTTGATTTTACTCCCTTTGATAGGTTTGATCGAATCTTGTACATGATTTTGAAGGATTTTTCGAGTGGCGCTGAATGTCCTGAATTAACCAGATGTTCTGTCACCGAACTATTTACCCGTTTTCGTTCTCCTTTTACTAGTCAGGCTGGATAGTGTTCACGAGCGCGTTTTTCAAGTCGGCGCATGGTACGGCCAACGTACTCAGCTCCACAAGAGCAAGTAAACTGGTATATGCACGTTGAGGTGGCCCAATGCGACAGCTTGTCTTTCGCGTTCTGGCTAAACAGTTTCTTGCAGGAAAACGTCAGTCGTAGGCTAGCGGCGAAGTATGTTTTCCTCAGCGATTTTGAGAGGCGTCTGCGAAGGATTTCGGCTTCAATATCACCTTTGAATTCTAGATTGAGCAGAAGCATTTTCTTTGGAACGGATTGGACTTGTTCAGAAGTCTTCTTAGGTTTGAGATTCTTTTCTATGGACCTGGGCGGGAAACCATTTTCCATCAGGGTTTTTCGAAGATTACGCAGTTCTTCTTCAACCACTTCCTCGCTGCATATCTTCCGAATCCTCGAGGAAAGAGCGTATATCAGGTTCCTCTTTCTGCTCAGGGGCACGAAGCTTTGAAAGTTGATGAATTGTCCATTCCATGTAGGCTTTTTGTATATGGACCTTTTCAGGGAGTTGTCGGCGTTTCTTGTCAGATGGACGTCGAGGAAGCGGAACATTCCGTCGGATTCAGTCTCAAGTGTGAAGTCGATGTTTGGGTGGGCATTATTGAAGATTTGAAGTAGGTTTTTTAAATCCCAGTTCTCATCACAAATAATGAAAGTATCATCGATGTATCTCTTGTAGAGATGGAGGTCGTTGATAGTTGGTGATAAGGCGTTGTTCGCTAAGCTAGCCATAAAGCAGTCGGCTAGAAGGGGTCCTAAGGGAGAACCCATTGCTACTCCATCTACTTACCTGTATATTTCTTTGTTGAAACTAAAGTATACGTTGAAGGTGCATCGAAGTAACAGTTCTTTCAGGTAATGGATTGGTATACCGACATCGATGCTATTGGATTCAATGTAGTCACAAAGGAAACATACGGTTTCTGTCAGTGGAACGTTGGTGAAGAGGGACACGACATCCAATACTAGATATGATAGATTCCCCATATCATACAATCGCGAAATGGCTGGTGGAGATTCTCGGGCCGGTGAAAGAGAAGCTGTCAAGACATAACCTCCGCGACACATTCGACTTTGTTGATTCAATTAAGAATGTCAATGTGGCAGAAAAGAAAATGGTCTCCCTGGATGTCGTGTCTCTCTTCACCAACGTTCCACTGACAGAAACCGTATGTTTCCTTTGTGACTACATTGAATCCAATAACATCAATGTCGGTATACCAATCCATTACCTGAAAGAACTGTTACTTCGATGCACCTTCAACGTATACTTTAGTTTCAACAAAGAAATATACAGGCAAGTAGATGGAGTAGCAATGGGTTCTCCCTTAGGACCCCTTCTAGCCGACTGCTTTATGGCTAGCTTAGAGAACAACGCCTTATCACCAACTATCAACGACCTCCATCTCTACAAGAGATACATCGATGATACTTTCATTATTTGTGATGAGAACTGTGATTTAAAAAACCTACTTCAAATCTTCAATAATGCCCACCCAAACATCGACTTCACACTTGAGACTGAATCCGACGGAATGTTCCACTTCCTCGACGTCCATCTGACAAGAAACGCCGACAACTCCCTGAAAAGGTCCATATACAAAAAGCCTACATGGAATGGACAATTCATCAACTTTCAAAGCTTCGTGCCCCTGAGCAGAAAGAGGAACCTGATATACGCTCTTTCCTCGAGGATTCGGAAGATATGCAGCGAGGAAGTGGTTGAAGAAGAACTGCGTAATCTTCGAAAAACCCTGATGGAAAACGGTTTCCCGCCCAGGTTCATAGAAAAGAATCTCAAACCTAAGAAGACTTCTGAACAAGTCCAATCCGTTCCAAAGAAAATGCTTCTGCTTAATCTAGAATTCAAAGGTGATATTGAAGCAGAAATCCTTCGCAGACGCCTCTCAAAATCGCTGAGGAAAACATACTTCGCCGCTAGCCTACGACTGACGTTTTCCTGCAAGAAACTGTTCAGCCAGAACGCGAAAGACAAGCTGTCGCATTGGGCCACCTCAACGTGCATATACCAGTTTACTTGCTCTTGTGGAGCTGAGTACGTTGGCCGTACCATGCGCCGACTTGAAAAACGCGCTCGTGAACACTATCCAGCCTGGCTAGTAAAAGGAGAACGAAAACGGGTAAATAGTTCGGTGACAGAACATCTGGTGAATTCAGGACATTCAGCGCCACTCGAAAAATCCTTCAAAATCATTTACAAGATTCGATCAAACCTATCAAAGGGAGTAAAATCAAGACATCTGGGCATAGCCGAGGCGCTAGCTATACAAAAGCTCAAACCCACGCTTTGTATACAAAAGAAATACGTCCAACCCCTGTCCTTGCCATGGCCATCATAAACAGGTAATTTTTAGTAATCACCATCCCATCGCCTTTCTTATCTAAACTTCCTGTTTATTCATGTTATTTCAAGTTTTTCTTAATCCCTGTTTACACTACCATATTTTCATACCCGAACTTAGTGTTTATTTTGTCATTTTACTATTTCTACATATTTAATCCCTGATTGCATAAACAATTATTCATCACATTAGTTTTTATCCAAACATCCTGTCTATTTTGTTATTTCTACATTTCTAACCCCTAATTGCACAATGTCAGTCTTCTTAGTTATTATAATGCTACTTTGTTTGTTTTATCCATCCCCCTGTTTATTATGGCATTCTAATTCCCAATTTTAATTTTTATTAATTTGACCCTTGACCGGATATTATTCTGGAACTTTCCCATCCATTTGATATAAATACACGAATGTACAGCCTAGATGATGACTTCGTCGAAAAGAAAATTTTCTTCGCTGCAACTGTCTTCTTATTTACTCGTATGACCCAATGTGTGTATTCCGTGATTTGCCAAACTCTTAATAATTGATTGTTGAGGTTATCATTGTTTGACTGAGTCACATCTTCTATCCCTAATTGATTTGTCAGCATTGAATTCGATTCTTTTTTTATCATTGTATTTCTTCTAATCTATCTTTTTCTTACTTTGTAAACTTTAAAGTTGTGATGTTGATCCCGATATTATTGTTTTCATTCAAAGAGGAGAAAGATTCCATTTGATTTAACCCTGAAGTGATGTTTCCTCACACTGACCAAATTGGTATCGAATGTTTAGACCACTATTTTACCACCTTATATATTACAAGTATAAATCAATGCGAATTTTAAAAAAATGGTAACGGAAACCTGTTGCACAGGAGGTGGCTCTCATGACCTCAGTGGATAATGCTTTGGAGTTTGAGACGTTGGGTACTCGGTTCAAGCGTCAATTGGAACACCATCACTCACTGGGAAATATAAGCACGTCCGGTTGACGATTCCTGAATAGGACGAATTAAGCATTCTAGATCCCTGTGCTAGTCACCATCTACCAAATTACTTTAAATATAAATCAATCAAGGGTGGTCATGACTGAAAAGATTAGGCAGTCATTGTAGTGGAGTGTACAAACTCCATACTACAAAAATTTAGATCGGAATTGGATTTGAAGGTTACATTTTCACTGAATACTATCATCAGGTATGTACTTACATCACCACACACAAAAATTGCGTTTGTTTTTCTGTTTTTTTTGTTTATTTCAATCATGTAGTTGTAGAATTAGATGTCTTTCATTCAATCATTGCATGGCAGCGATTTCCTCCTTAAAAAGAAAATCATCATTTGATTTTTTTTTCCTATTCAGCATGTTCCTACTTTATGGCTTATTATTTTAATGTAAATAGTATGAAGGTTTTCTTTCTTCTTACTCCTTGTCTCTCTAGGTTGAAGTAGATATTTTCAACAATTTAGAACCGAAACCAATACCACCTAAACACATGGCGTTGTATATAGGATTAGCTGCATTCGGTGGTTTATTACTCTTATCCATTTTAGTAATCATTCTTTACAAGGTAAGTCATTTTGTCCTACGTAGATTACTTCATAATTCATTTATTGATGAAATTATCTGTGGATAGTTTGAGTTCTGCAAGTTGATATTTATGTATAATAATAGATTGACATAGGATAAGGTTTAAGAAGGTTTAGGAGTGGTCAGATCTGGCGTCAACTCATGAAGTCTTCGATAATTCGTACCAGCTAGCCACCTAGAGGAGGCTGTAGACCTCCTAGTTGGAGTCTTCGGGATGCTAAGAACCAATGGCTGCAGAATACTGGTATATGTGACTTAAAGTCGTGTTTTACCATATCAGTATTCTTTCTTCCATATATTTCTGCTCATTATAGTTATTTTGAATATCTTCTTCTCTCTTTTCTCTACGTTGTGTGCTATATGGAGAGATGTATGATAACTTAAGCTGCTGCACTTCTGTGCAAAGTTCTATATTGAAATTCAGTCAGTTGGTTTTAAGGAATTCATTATGAGGTGAAATCAGTTAAAGAACCATTGGAAAACTTGTGAGTACTGGACAGTTGCTTCGTCTTTGTTTAGGATCCATTCGCAGTACACATTCACCGGGGTTTGAACCCAGGACCTTTTGGTTACAAGGCGAGCTAGTAGATCACTAAGCCTTTGCTACCCGATCCAGTGGCCAGCAGGTCGGGTGTGATGACATTGGATAGTGGTCGCGCTATGTGGTGAATTGGAAGAAGTTGAAATTCATGGGCTGACCTAGTGGTCTACTGGCCCACCTTGTAACCAGAATGTCCTGGGTTCGAACCCCGGTCGGTACGTACTGCCATTGAGTCCTAAACGATGATGAAGCAGCTGTCCAGTACTTCCTGCAGGTTTTCCAATGGTTCTTCTAACCAATGTAAGGTCATGATAAAGTCCTGAAACTAATCAAATCCCTGCAAATCAACACTTGAGTTAAGTCTAAGTTGAAATTGAAACTTAAATAATTAGGGAATTCAAAACAGCAATCTTCAGGCTATCTATCTGAATCTCTCCTCACTTAGTTGTGAGACCCGATGACTGACGAATTAAATTATGTCGCTTGGTTGTTCAAATACATTCGAATACACATGCGTATACATTCTAGTTCCCTCATCATTCTGAATATATTTGAATGACTTAGCAGCAAATTTTATGCCGTCAGCTGAGGTGTTTCTTAAATTTACCCTTCAGTCACTAACAGTTTCACTCAGTTGTTATATAAACACACAATACATAAATGTTCAGTATGACTCTTCATCCCGATACCAAGTATACAGAACTGGAGAGAGGCGAAGATAGTGAACAGCTGTAGATTTGACTGTCAAAGATACTCTGAGATAGATATTGGAATTTATTTAGTTGAATAATGCCTAGAAGTGAAATGAAATCTGTTTAGGCAATTCATCCTGTTGTAAATTAGAGCGTTTTAGTTAACGATCTCTAACGCTTAGTGAATACAATTGAATACAAAGAGGCATAGAAATGCTTATGAATAAGAAAATTGTTCAAATCAGTCCACTGAAGAAAGTGGTGTGATTAAGAAATCAACACATTGAACTGATGAATAAACTGGAGAACAGAACTGATGGGGAGGGTGCCTTCAAATCAAGGTTTGATTTCGGAGACTGTCACTATCTGACTAAAGCATTCCACTCTTTGATATATGTGACTTTCACCTACCCTCATGAGTCAGTATAATCGGGTCTATTCAGTAGGAGGGGAATAATATAAGTAACTTTATCTATCGATTTACTTATTTATAGTCAAAGTCTTATGAGCTCACAGATGAATCGAAATATTCATACTGACTAATTATTATTATTATTTAAGCGGGAACCCTATCCCTCGCTTATTTTATTTCAGACAAGTGACATTACCATCCAATTTCGGCCATGAATGACTTCCAGTTCTAGTTTCATTACATAATGTGTACTTCTTATGAACATATAGAGTTAACTAGACAGTTTTTTTTTCAAATATTGTTTTTTTTGGAGGGAATTTTATTTGATTGGTTGGAGGATTTTATCATGAGCTGACATCAATGAATTCTAACTTCATGGGCCATTGGATCAGGTCCCACTAGCTTAATCGTCTACGTCTTCGAATGATTCTCTAACTGATGTCAGCTCATGATGAAATCCTCCAACTAAACATATTTTTTGACATATGATTCTTGGACAACTTCAAGTGATTTTGTTATCAACAAACTTGTTATTGAAACATACATTTTCCCTTCTATAATTTTAGGCTGGTTTCTTCAAACGAAAACGTTTCCTCAGAAGACGAACAAAACGCCCACTTCAGATCCAACACAAAGACTCGGTCAGTATGTTTCAGCAGAACCTAATCAAAAACAATCTTTAATATCACCAAATCAATCCGGCTATCATGACAGTATGAAAAGTAAATCAGGTGGACGTTATCACCAAGTGCCAATGAATTCACAAGAACCAAGCTATCGTCGAACACCGTATTCCCCTTCATCGGGTTTTCCAGTTTCAAATACACGATAATACATAGATTTTATCCTATTTTATTTTATTTTTTTGTGCTCACTAAATGCTCTAAACAAATTCCAATGACCGACCAACCATAACAAAATCGATACACATTTGTTGTATATTCCCTACCACTCCTTCTCCTCCTACTGATGATGATGATGATGACGATATCCAAACACTGCTGTTATTCTGTAGTTGAATGAGGCCTTCTTCTCTAATATTTTCTACGGAATCTTTTTCTACTTGTGTTTGTATTTTTGTGTGTGTGTGTTCGTTTATTTTTGCTTCACTTAATCCAACAACTGCCTCCCTCCTTCCCTGCCTGCCTGCGTGCTTGCCTGACCTCCCACCAGCCTGCCCACCCGCCTGCATATACTTGTGTTAATCCAACCAATCAACCAACGAAATAATTAACTCCAATCCCAGAGATACTATTGCCCTTTTCTACTGCCTTTATATAATATACAAAGTATTGACCAGTTATTAAAATATTATTTAAGTATTAAAGAAGAAAACATGTACCATATCATTATCCCTGCTAATACAACAGCTGAAACAACAACGACTACTATTATGATTACTACTGATAATACTACTACTAATATTGATGATAGTAATAACCGACGACGCAGTGTACAAATATGCAAACACACTATTCTAGAATTTATTGTTTAGCTTGATTTCTTTTTTTCATTGTTTTTTTTAATTACTATGACTACACTTTTTAACAGAATTTGAAATAAAAATTGGTTGTGTATATTTTCTAAACAAAAGACGAATCATCTATCAGTGATGAAACAGACACAAGCTCAAATGTATTAAATAATCTATACTTGTGAACTACACTCAACAATACTAACCAATTTTTTTCATATTTGACAGTACTCAGATTTGTTCTGTGTATGTGTGTGTTTTGGTTAATCTGTCTGTCTGTTTTCGACATAGAACTTTGCACAAATGTGCGGAAGTTCAAGTCGCCACATTCCGTGTAGCACGCGAAGCAAGAGAAGAAAGTACAAGAAAAGCATAATAGAAACAGTGAGCAGAGGTGTGAGACAAAGGAGTAATAAAGAAATACAAAACAGTTTCATTGAAGATCATAAGTCACAGGGAGTGGATGCATCTGCGCCACTGAGAACGGTTTTGAGCCATGTCACCAATTGTTTCCAACCATAGATTTTTACCGTCCCGAGGACCCCAGCCTGGAAGTCTACACCTTCCTACGTGGCTTAGACCAACTGTTGTGGATTTCATTGACTGATGCCAAGTTTTTGTTTGACCGCCGCTAGCTTTTTTCCAGCCTGACCCTATATCCGCTAACATTGCTCGTCGAGGGAGGCGATGGCTTGGCATACGTAACACATGTCCTAACCATCTCAGTCTTTGTAGCTTCACGACTTCGTCGATTGATTTCCCCTGTTTACCTAGAACTCTACGCCTAACCTCCATGTTGCTCACCTTATTATGCCACTTTACACGGGAAATAGAACGCAGGCACCTATGATCAAACACAGCTAGTCTTTTCATGTCTTCCACTCTCAGTGGCCAGGTCTCACAACCATAAAGGAGGACGGAGCGGACTGATGAGCAGTACACCCGCCCTTTGGTCGATAGTCGAACATCTCGTCTACGCCAGAGTCGGCGTAAACTAACAAATGCGAAACGAGCCCCTTGTATTCGTGCTGAGATTTCGTCAGAGATCAGCCCGTTGGGGCTGATGGTGTGGTGAGAGCAGGCTGCTAGCCGATTGGTTGGCACTAATCTACGTTAAGGTCTAGGTCACTAATATGGGCCGTGAGAAAATATGAACAAGCCTGAGTCGACAACCAATCACAGCAAAGTTAACGTGGCAGAATATGATTCGCAGAGAGAACTCTATTTGTCAAGGAATCCCGAAACAACCAATCAGAAGCCTGCGTTTGTCTACCTAAACAACCAATCAGATGACTGCGCTTGTCTATAATAATGTAGTTGAAAGATGTATAAATACGTGTTGATTTTCATAATAAAACGATCTGTTGCCTGGCCCTTGTCTTCTGTTGTTACATTTGGTGTCGCTGCCTACCGACAAATGAAAAGCCTATACCCTGCAGTTTTTGATGGAGACATATGGATCTTCGGGCAGGACTTCAAGGCTTCTGCGCAGTTGAGTGGCGTTCAAGATCTGTCAGCGATGGAGCTGCTACTTGAGACGCTGCTGGGAGGTCGGGCGAAAGCAGCATATGAAGGTGTGGGCCGAAGTATGGACGAATGTTCGACAGGGTCAGGCAAACAGTTTCCAAAGTGGGAAGGACCATATATGGTCACTTCGAGATGGGGTTACGCAGACCCAGTCGCAATGGCGAACAATGAGAGGCGCGTGAATGTCAGCGAGCTCCAGAAATGGATACAGCGAGACAAGCCAACGATGACACCTGCACCAAGTAGATCAAGCCGACTTCAGTCGCACGTATTTGACGGGGGGACGAGTGTGGTGAGAGCAGGCTGCTAGCCGATTGGTTGGCACTAATCTACGTTAAGGTCTAGGTCACTAATATGGGCCGTGAGAAAATATGAACAAGCCTGAGTCGACAACCAATCACAGCAAAGTTAACGTGGCAGAATATGATTCGCAGAGAGAACTCTATTTGTCAAGGAATCCCGAAACAACCAATCAGAAGCCTGCGTTTGTCTACCTAAACAACCAATCAGATGACTGCGCTTGTCTATAATAATGTAGTTGAAAGATGTATAAATACGTGTTGATTTTCATAATAAAACGATCTGTTGCCTGGCCCTTGTCTTCTGTTGTTACATTTGGTGTCGCTGCCTACCGACAAATGAAAAGCCTATACCCTGCAGTTTTTGATGGAGACATATGGATCTTCGGGCAGGACTTCAAGGCTTCTGCGCAGTTGAGTGGCGTTCAAGATCTGTCAGCGATGGAGCTGCTACTTGAGACGCTGCTGGGAGGTCGGGCGAAAGCAGCATATGAAGGTGTGGGCCGAAGTATGGACGAATGTTCGACAGGGTCAGGCAAACAGTTTCCAAAGTGGGAAGGACCATATATGGTCACTTCGAGATGGGGTTACGCAGACACAGTCGCAATGGCGAACAATGAGAGGCGCGTGAATGTCAGCGAGCTCCAGAAATGGATACAGCGAGACAAGCCAACGATGACACCTGCACCAAGTAGATCAAGCCGACTTCAGTCGCACGTATTTGACGGGGGGACGAGTGTGGTGAGAGCAGGCTGCTAGCCGATTGGTTGGCACTAATCTACGTTAAGGTCTAGGTCACTAATATGGGCCGTGAGAAAATATGAACAAGCCTGAGTCGACAACCAATCACAGCAAAGTTAACGTGGCAGAATATGATTCGCAGAGAGAACTCTATTTGTCAAGGAATCCCGAAACAACCAATCAGAAGCCTGCGTTTGTCTACCTAAACAACCAATCAGATGACTGCGCTTGTCTATAATAATGTAGTTGAAAGATGTATAAATACGTGTTGATTTTCATAATAAAACGATCTGTTGCCTGGCCCTTGTCTTCTGTTGTTACAATGGTACTTCCCAAATAAGTGAAGCGGTCAACGTGCTCTACCACTTCACTTCCTATTTTTAAACTAGGCGTCGATGTAGTCCAGTCCTGTAACATCATCTTGCATTTGGCGGGAGCGAATCGCATGCCAAACATTCGTAGATTGCGGCTCAAGGTGTTTAGAAGACTCTGCATTTCGTCAGCGTCTTCGCCTAGAAGGACTATATCGTCTGCATATTCCAAGTCAACGAGATTATTCCCCGGTAGCAAGTCAATCCCTGAGTCGCTGAAGTCACCTAGGGTTAAGTCCATTAACACATCTATGATGAAGTTGAATAGAAAAGGAGATAATGGGCATCCTTGACGGACACCACTGGTCGTCATCAGTTCAGATGACAGCTCGCCGTAAGCCCTCACCTGGCTGTATGAGTACGAGTAGAGTGCCTTAATCAGTGCAATATATTTTCTTGGAATTCCCTTTACAGCCAAGCATCTCCAGAGAACTTCCCGATCGACAGAGTCGAATGCTGCCTTTAGGTCAAGAAATATAATGACTGTTGGACGCCGGTAGGAATGCCTATGTTCTAGAATCTGTCGGAGGGTGAAGATATGATCAATACACCCTCTTCCTGGTCTAAAGCCTGCCTGGCTCTCTCGTGTTTGTGCTTCCCGAGCACCACTCAGTCTACGCATGATTATTGAGCCTAAGACTTTAGATACTATATTAGTCAAGCTAATCCCTCTGTGATTATCACAGGAAGACTTGTCTCCCTTCTTGTATATGGGGATAATCAGTGACTTACACCAACCCGATGGGACTTCTTCTGATTCCCAGACGCTGCCTAGTACCTCAGTTAATCCGGACAGTAAGCTGTCTCCACCGTACTTAAATACCTCTGGAGTCATTCCATCAGGTCCCGCTGCTTTGCCTAGTTTCAGATTGGTGACAGCTTTAGTAACCTCAGTTAGTGACGGAGGACCTGTGTCTATATCCCATTCAGGGAGGTGTTGGATGCTCGGAAGGTTGAGCGTGGCTGTGGGCAAATTAAACTGCTCCTCATAATGCTCTTTCCAACGATCCAGTCGTCTATCCTGTGAGCTAATTATAGTGCCATTTTTTTCCGAGATTGTCTCGCTGATGATTTGTCTTCTCCCACCCGTTTCCCTGATGAGTCCAAAGAGTTGTCTGGTGTTGCCTATCCTCGAAGCTTTCTCCATCTCTTTGGCTTTTGTCGCCCACCACTGTTCACGGTCCTTGCGGAAAACTTACGAAAAGTCTCCGCAAGGACCGTTTGGTTAATAACTTGCATTATCTAAGTGCGTCGGTGGCACAGCGGTTGGTATGCTCGCCGACCATGCACATGGTCCGGGGTTCGATCACCGGCCACTGACGCACTCGTTAACCTCACTTATCCAGTAATAAGACTGGTAAAGGGGAAGGTTGGGCGTGAGACTAGCAACCCCATCCTGTTAAAATAAACACTGCTACAG